CCTGAAGATGCATGAGGTGAGAATTATTTGCAGACTTCTCTTTGTCAGCTGAAGCTATTGAATTACTTAACATCCTTTAACGAAGGATCTATGTGTGTGGCCAGGGAGGAAAAAAGGACCAGTAACATTGGTTGACATAGAAAACAGGAAGTGATGTGCTGTAAAATTAGTGCTACAATGATGACAATTTAGCAGGCTTGTTTACATGCTGGTATGGATAATAGAGCAAGGATGGGTGTTACAGGTCTATTTTTTAAAAAGAAAAAATAAGCTTTTAAGAGAAATAATATATTTGATCTCTCAGTGTATAGGAGAAAAGGATATGATGGGCTGAGTGTGTGAGGGGGACCCTAGTAAGACCGAGACTATTCAGCATGGATAGTCAAATCATCAGAAAATTATAATCTAAACAGTCTATCTGTCTCAACTTTTTATTTGATTTTTAAATTTTTTTTTGGTTAAGCACTGAAAAGTTCCCTCAAAGCAGAGTTTAACAGGAGGGTGTCTATACTGTGCTATCTGAACAGAACAGGTTCTACACCACCATAACCCCATTGACTTTAAGGGGCCATTTTAATGAATATACAAATCTGAGCGCTCAAGTTTAAAGAAAGGCTATACAAATGAGAGTTTCTCTATCTGTAAATGCAATCCAGTGCAAGCTTGTAATGAAGTGGGCAGTGCTGCTCTCTCCTCCTGTAGCAGTGTAGGGTAGGAAGGAGCTTTATAAAAATGACCCTGCTTGAAGTGTGACATGGAGCATCTATTTAAGCAGTTGTGGAGCTCAGTGGACAAAAGTTCGGTCTGACTTTGCTCTGTTTAGGAAGAGGCACTGTCACGTAAAAATGATTCTCTAGATGCCCAGGGGGCCCTGCTTTTTTGTCTAGCAGAAGACATTAAAGCAAAGGGTTACCCGTATCCCTAAATAGATTTTATTATTTTAAAATCTGTAGATATGAAACTTCATATTTAGGTTTTAGAAGCTGAAATGAATACTAATTGATTGCTTCATCTCCTGAAACTTCAGCTAATGACTATTAACCTTGCTTCAGAAGAAAAAAGAAAAAGCAAAGTCAGACATGAATTGGGAAATGTGTTTGATAGTAAAAAAAATTCCATGTGGTCTGAACAGTATTTTCAAATACTACTACTTTAACTCTTCTGAAGATCTCCCTGAAATTTCCTGTTTACTCCTGTGCACAGAAAATAAAGTCCTTAATGGTTGATTCTTTCCCTACCCTTCCTAAGAACATTCTACTTTATCAGTAACCTTTTCTGCACTGTCAAGAAAACTACAGATTCAGGCAACAAGCATCTCTGAAATATCCCATGTCCTAATCTAAAAGTAGAGCTTTATCACAGAACATACCAGTCTGGGTTTTCTAGTTGAAACAAAACCAGGCATTTTGAAACGCTGATTTGTTGACGTAGGTCCAACTAATGTTTCAGGAAAGAGCTGTAAAAATAGTTGGAAAATGTTTTTCATGTGTCTGCAACAGCAATCACCTGCTTTACCCTATGAGGACAGCCCCATTTGAACTCTACATTGTAAAAATGTTTTTGTGGCTAATTAAGACTATTAAGCTTACATTAATGGTCAAGAAGCAGGTGTTGGTACACATGTTGAGGAGTTGTATTTTATAGTCTCTGTCTGCATTGCACTTTGTACTTTCAGGTGGATGCCTGACACTCAGATAGCACTGGAATCTGCTCAGGGCACTTTGCTACTGTTGCCTTTCCATTCCCAGACAATTGCCTTTAAAATGTAGTTGGAAAGATCAAAAGCATTATTACTGTAAAAGTCACTGTGAAATTAAAAGGGATAGGAATCAACCATTTCTGTAGCAGGTTCTTTTCATGTCTCTGCATAGACTTGCCAATTATGGTTCTTTTTTCTCGGTTGGAGATGTTAACCTGTTCTGCTTTTATCTCGGGATCCCTGCCCAGGTTTCTAAAGTGATTTGTGGTCATTTGAGATCTTCCTTCATTTTTGTCACTTGCTTCTGGGAGGAAGAGTGGCACTGATGGGAAATGTTTTGCTATTTATAGACTGTCTTGGTGTTATGTCTCCTGCGGTTATATAGAGGAGGCAGGATACTGTCTATTTACTTTACTTTTAGACCACCCGTCTCTCAGTCTGTTTCTCACCATGGACTCGCTGCTGAGAATTTTTGCCTGATTTCTTTTACATAACTTTTTTTTTTTTTTTTAAACAAGTGCATTATAATGATTACTAGGGGCTTGTCTAGCCCTTTCTTTAGATGCATGCTTTGGGGTCCTGGCTACTGAACATTTAGTCTGATGTGGCTGGGTGGGAATGGGGATCCTTTCTATATGATTCAGAACATGGAGTGAGGCTGGGGACTTGGTGCATGCCTGTATCTTACACGTTATAATTGTAGGATGCAGCTAGGAACAAGTGCTTGCAACATGGAGTTGGGACTTGCTCTTGGGTACAGGAGATTACCATGTTCTCTGTCTTCAGTTAACCACCTAAGCTTCTCCGCTACATTTATCACAGTTATAATAGCTCATATTTTTGGCTTCAGTCAGATTTTTACTGCATTATAGGAGAGGAACTGATAAACTGCAAAGTAAAAATGAACACTGAGCTCTTTTTTAAATGCTCAGACTGAACTCTATTAATCTGTTGATAGAGGGCATTCAGCTCCAGAAATAAAGTTGTGAAGGACTTGGCTAAAATTCTCTCAACTTCTTTAAATTTTACTTGATTCAACCCTGATTCACTGATAGCATTCTAGAGTTTATAGTAACAACAGCAGAGGTGAAATCCTGTCCCTCTTGAAGCCAACAGAGAATCCTTTATCCAAGATTTCATACTAGATGACTCACTGTGGCCACTGTATCCCAAAAATATGTCATGTTCTGGCATCTTCAGCAGAGCAGGAAATACCATGGGGATTTCTCAGACTGGAGTGGCATGCGGGGCAGTCTTCCCCTGAAATACTTAAAGACTATGGGCAGTTGTCTAGCATTGACTCTGTGTATGCTGACATTACATAATTGTCAAGAGAAGGTTTGTTGGGAAAGGGTCTTGTCAAACATAAGCCCTAGCATGTCTATTCCCTCCGAGTGAGAACAATTGATGGGACACAGCTAAAGAACAAAGCTATGTTCTGCCCACCTAGTTTCGATTTACAGTGAAATGAAGTGGGGACAAAGCTTCCTCTCTCCTGGGAGGGTGATCAGCACCTTTGGCATCATTGTGAGCTTGCCAGTGAGCTCAGTAAGAGCAATGCCTTCTCTGAAGGAATGTAGACTGGTATATTCAGATTTATCCTCCCCACCTTTAGATTTTTGGGCTCAGCCTGAAACACTTTATATTCTTTTGCTTTGTGAAAGCTACTAGACTATGAGCTAGTTCAGCAGAGATGCAGATGGTGCATCCTGGTCCGTTGCTACAGGTGTGGTAGCCTCTGGAAAAAGGCAAGGCAGAACATTGTGACAGCAGCTGTGTGTGTTGCCACAACTGAATCTGCCAAAGCTGTAAGGGAGTGAGGAATTGGGCTTCAAATGGATTTAATTCTTGCATTGTTTCCACATCTGTGTAATCTTCTCCTCTCCCATAGCTGTACCCAGGAGACCAGAAAACCACTCTCGATGTTGAGACCTGACCTTGTATGATCTCTGGCTTGTGCTTCTCGAGCTGTGAATTCCTCCTCAATGGATGTACCTCCTACCTTTCTGTGCGTGGCAAACCAAAATAAGTGACACAAGCTCTAAACAAATGTATTTTGTTAGCTAGGCCAGTCGTGTGTGTAGTAAGAAACAATGCCTGACTGACACGTGCCCAGCAGACAAATTTCATTATGATTTGAATTGACTCAAACTATATCCTGTGCCTCTGTGTCAAGGCATCTCATGCTAACTGAGACCTGTTAAAGGAACAGAATTAACTTATACAATGAATTCTTACTAAAATAAAGGTAATACCAAAGCTTGTATTCCATATCTAATGAAATATTTTCCTAATGTAGTATACACATTTATAATGTGTCAAGCCTGACTTTAGTCTCCTGGGAGCAGGCCAGTAAAGAATAGCATTACAAATATTTATTTACTTCTCTTGTCCCTCACTGGCTTTATTTTAATGGGTGTGCAAAACTGCATGAAAGCTACAGGGGAGAAAAAGCCCCCTGGGAAACCCTTTGTATCAGGATGAATTGGAAAAACAAACTCTAGGGTGCTCATTTGCCATGAATCGCTTTTCACATCACGTGCCGAAAATGAATGAGGCGTCTGTGAATCTAATTCCCTTTGTCCCAGTTGCAAAGCCGATCAGCACAATAGGAGAGGCATAAGGCCAGCAAAGCAAGAGGTGGAAAGCAGGCACCATTCAGTGAATTCATTTTCAGTCATTCCAGTGCCGCTTGCTCCTTTTCTCTACAGATTTAAAGAACAAATAAAACCCTATGGTTCCTGGGAAATGCTTCTGTTAAGTGCTGCTGCCAAAGTCTCGCTAAGCACGGTGGCATTGGTGGAGAACACGAATCCTTCCTACTGCCACACTGGGTCCCTTGCCACTCCAAGTGGGAGGACAAAAAACACATCACCACAGCCTCACCACACATTAGGAAAACCGGCAGATCAGTGCGTTGAAGGGTCTGTGTGATCCCAGGGGTAAAAAAGATAAAGATCTAAGTTGTTCCTCTTTTTTTTTTTTTTAAATTCTAACTTCAAGATAAAACTCCTAGTAATCTTTTTCATGCTGAACTGGATTTTTGACAGCTGTTTATTATTTTGAATTAGGTTACATTATTTACTCTTTATTATCTTCTATCTAAATACAGTTAGATTTGTGTGTGTGTGAACCAAACAAGCTATGTTTGAAAGACTAAAAATATCCTAGCTGCAAACCCCATTGCTGGCTTGGGAGCGTAACCCTTCCGTTCATTGCCTGGTTTGTAAGCCTCTCTCACTGCTTTAAGAACAACTTTGTTGCCCAGCTAAAAGGAAAATGGAAATTTTAAAAATCTCACCACAGCTTTTGTAATGTATTTCCAAGTTGTCCTCTTTGCAGACTGTGTGCGTAGGCCATTCTGTGCTGGCATTGATATAAAGCAGGACTAAGATGAGAACAAGAACATTTGATGTCTTCATGGTGGTGGTAGCCTGCAGGATTAGTTCTCTGTCTCTTGCTAACCCTCTGTGGAGGGGGGTGTTCCTTCCTTTCTCCAAGGGAAACAGGAGTTACTACATTCACGCCTGCAGAAGGGTTAAGTAAGCCAATGTAGCCTTAGCTTACCACAATGTGGTATAAACAAGAGGCTAATCAGAATTGGAGGGTGTTATTTCCGTGTGCTCAGACTTCTGCTTTCTTCTTCATGTTAGTTTAAACTAATGACAAATGAGCTAATCACACCTACTCACTGCATGGCATAGCCCTGCCTCGGTGCCTGCTGGAACAATGCAGCAAACTGTTTAGTTTTTCTCTCGCTGTCAGCTTCTTCTCTTGAAGTCAAAGTATTTGGGTCAAGACTTCAGACAGGCTTATTTAGCCCTTCTGACTGCAAAACATTGTGATTCAAATCACCCCATCTTAATCACACAGACCAAATTTTGCAAGGTGGACAGTTTGGTTTCTGTGTTCTTCTTAATATCAAATTTGTTTGCTAGAGGGAAGTGTGTCAGATGAAGCTGACACCAAATCAGCAGACCTTGAAACTTTTAGGAATGGATCCTTTCTGCTTGACTACACTAAATACTACATTTATGTTTATTTTGTTCAGTGGTTCTTAGGAATGCACTATTTAACAGTATACCCAACCAGGTAAACGTAGACTTATTTTTTTTCCTTCTGTCTTCCTGGTTATTTAACTGCCCACTAGTGACACTATGCACTTGTTATTTGCACTAGGTTTTTTTAAAGCTATGCTTTATGCAAAAATTAGTGGCTGTTGCAGATGGCAGGGAATGATCAGTAAGGAGGGAGAGTTGCTGCCTCTCTGGTAAACTTCTCCAATTCAGTTTAAGATCCAGGATTGGAATAGAATTTCAAACAGCAGACCTTTTTGAAACTTTCTTGGACAGAGCACCAACTGGAAAAAAGCTATAAACTAAATTCAACCCTAAAGAAAATGTCTGCAATAGTCTCTCTGAGCTGGAGACAAGGAGAAATTTGCTCTGTACCATGACATAGTTGGATAAAAGATCACTTTGGCCATCTCAGTCTGTTTTATGTATCTGAGTATCATTTGCTCTGCCACTAAGTAAAATTGAAGAGGGGAAAGTCTATGTACTTTAGCAAACCAGGAGAGCACCTGACAAGATAATTATGAAATAATGCTAAACAATAGAGCTGTTCCTCAGGCAAAATCCTGGCTTGAATGAAAGTAATAAAAGTAATCCCACAGATTAAAGAGAGGGCCAAGATTTAAACCATGATGTATTAAATTTAAAAGCCAATTCAATGAAATCCAAGAGACCTTGCTTTGAATAATGAGGCTCAGGCCTGCTTCACGTTTTCTGATACTATCATAATGGTAAATTATATGTCCAGGGCCAAGGTGAGAATCCAGACAACTGTCCTTAGACATGGAAGATGTATGAGTCAAGGAAAGAGATCTGGGTTACAGATCTGTCTGGTTTGACTGGGCTTTAGTTGTACCCACCTGATACTTGACGAAAGCAAGCACAGTTGCAAAGAGAATAGTAAGGGGAGACAAGGTCTGGGATTGCTGTAATGCATTTAAACTAGAATCACATAAAGTGGAAGTCCCTTCCCACTGAGGCCTACAAAGACAGTGAAAATTGGATATAGCAATTTATTATAAAATGCAAAGTACTTCAGATCAGGACTGTGAGAACATAACCTCTAGATTTTTTTTTCAGGAATGACATCATCGTGGTCCTTCATTTAAAATGTCAGCTTAATGCTCAATAACAATGAACAAAGCAAATAAAACGGTAGGGCAAATGCTTCAAAGAGAGACCCACTGGGGATCACTAAATAAACCAGATAAGGCTCCAGACCTCTACTGAGATGAAAACCATTGGAAGCTGGGAAAATAGGTGGGAGAAATACCATACATGCTTGCTTTGCTCTTACTCTTCTCTGCATGCCTGCTTGTCCATGATGCCAGGAAAAGGTTACTGCATTAAATGGAGCCTCGGTCTGAACTAGAATGGTTTACCTGGATGATGGGCTTGTTCCTTACCTCCCCTTCCCTCTTCCCACCCCATCCCCTTGGAACAGTGTTGCTGGTGGTCGTGGATTTTGAAGTGCTGACTCCAAGTGGTCTTTTGTCTTTGCAGAATCCCTGTGGCAGCTGCTCTGCAGATATCCAGGAGTCTGGGCCTTGCTTCGCAGAGATTTCAGTCTAAGCACAAGCAGACAGCCCGGTGAGGTGGAACAACACTGGACTTTTGGGATGCAAGTCTTCCTGCTTCACTGAGAACAGGATGGCTGGGGTAGATCTCCTAATGGAAACCGAATACGACTATGTAGATGAGCTCAGGATCTCTGCTGTGCACAGGCAAGTGCCTGCACCATTTCCCCCGTCTGGTGCATAGACTCTCTCTTGCTCTTTTGAGACAGCTACTTCATCCTTTATTTTGGCAGTGCTCCTGACACTGACTCAAAATGACAAGTCACAAGATTTTTTTTTTTTTTTTGTGGGTGCGAGGTTGGAACGTATGTCTCAAGTAGTTTTTGGGTAGCCAATGTTCTGAGGGGAAACAGCCATGATAGCTAATGTTTTGGAAAGCTGTGCTGTCACTTCCACTTTGCCCCACCATGTTGTTCTCAGTGGGAAGGGAATTTTACTTTGAGTGGTTCAAGTTTACAATGTGTACTCCAGACACTGTTTCGCCATTTCATTCCCTGTGCAATCCTTGTATCTCCTAGAAAGAGCTTTATTACCAACTCCATCTGTTCTGAGAACTGCTTTCCCTTCAAACAGCCGAAGCCTGTGGGATGAGAAACTACATCTAAACGAAGTGGTATCAGTGCTGGCAGTGGGAACTGTGTTTTGGCAGGTTGCTTAGCTGTCCAACAAGTGTGTTTCTTTATCTGCCTGATTGAAGGCTTTGACCATGGAGATTGGCAGATCAAAAACGCTTGTGAAAAAAGCTATTTACTTAAAGAGGGGCAGTGGTTTCATATATCTGGAGCACTCCGCACCTTGTTTGGATGCTTCTGCAGTATTAAAGAGTGAAAAAACTCTTGTTCTTTATCAAGAAGATTACTATAACTGTAATATAATTGGGAAGAGTAAAAGATACAAAGGTAGCAGACTAGTAAGCAGATAAATCTTACATCAATGTCTGTAATTTCTTGGGTTTGTTGATACAAGACTGCTGATACAACTGTATCAGCAAATCACCTTTCCTCTCCAGCCCCAGGTATATTATACCACTAGCCTCTTGTACCTATAACTAATAGCCAGTACCAGCTTCCTGGAGAAAGAGGTCTTTTTGGTTTGGTTTTGTTGTGGTTTTTTTTTTTTTTGTGTGTGTGTGTTTTTTTTTTGTTTGTTTGTTTTGTTTTGTTTTTTCTTTTTTCTTTTTTTCTCCTTGTTACTTCAGGGTCCAATTCTCTTTTAGATTGCAGTCAATGTTGAGTCATAACTGATGTAATAGCAACATCTATTGATTAAACAACATATTATTTAGTTGCTTAATTATAGATACACTATTAATGGATACACTGTTGACATTATTTTACAACCGTATCATTTTGCACAGTTACAACCAAATATAAAACTATTTCTCATTCTCAGATCTCATAGTTGACACCCAACTATTTTATTGCAATTGTGCCACCCTTCCCACCCACACTACTTGGTGCCAGAGTGCAATCCTGTCCCTCTTTACTCTTCCCCCATTGAGTCTTCCAGGCATTGACCTGAGGGAGAGTCGCGTGGGTTGTCTGCAGGGGTTCCCTTCAGTGTCCCCTTGGGCTGGGTGCACAGGTAGCTTCAGTGCTCTTTGTAGCTGCCTGCACTCCTACTGTCAGAAGATCCCATCCTCTTTTTTTTTTTTTTTTTTTAATCTGATATTATGTCTTATTCCCCCTTGTTTCTATTGCAGGACTCGTCCTGTTTTTTGTACCTTTACCACCTCCCTTTCTTTACCCCAACTGTCTGCAAACAAGCAATTGATCTCTCTCCACACCCTCCCCCCACCTTCCAGTCTCAATTCTGCTACATCTGTACTCAAATTTGATCTTTCTAACATTTTTAGTCAGGCAGTTTTGGCCTTATGGGGTATTACTGATACAGTTGCCAAGGCACAGGCAGCTTCCTAAGAGTACATCCCCCAAACTCCCCTACAGTTATCTCTTTCATACTGGTCATGCTTTTTTTTGTCCTTTTTTTTTTTTTTTTTGTGTTTTTTTTATTATTTATTTCACACACTATGGCAAATTATTCTACTTTATCCTTGAATCCTCTACCTACCTCCACTTAATGCAAGTAGTTTCATATCTGAGGTGAGGCCTGCATACCAGAGCAACATAGCTACGTGTTTTTCATGCTCTATTTTGTACTCACACAGCATCCTTGCTCTTGAATTGTTTTAATTACTCTCTGGGTTCCCTGCAGAGGTTTAACTAGTCATGAGGCCTGGTGCTCCAGCGGGGCCTCTTGTTGCGTTCGTGCGACTGCACCTACACTATGACTTTTGCCAAAATAGTTATGGGTATATTGTTTTTCCTATGCTTCTAGCCAAGTTGCAAAACTTTTTCAAATATAGACCTGGATAGTACTTCACCTGATCTCAGCAATGGGGTTTCCTCTTAAGAGTCTCTTTTATTTAAAGATTTTTTTTTTTTTTTCTCTCCGTTGTGTAAGTCCAGTATAGGTGAGTCCTAACCAAAGTTTAAGTTCTTTCTTTCAAACCAAAATCTTTTTTCCTTGCCTTTGGCATCTTTGTATACACTTGTATCATACAATGAAACACTTCCACATGGAAAGTTTCACATTAAAAGCTTCACTGATTTCTCTTCCTTTTACTTGCAATTCTCTGAACAAAAGCTTTCTGCTTCATATTTCTCAGTGTGGGCCTCCTGCTAGTGAAAGACAGTGAGTGAAAATTTCTCAGCAAATAGATGAGACTTTTCAGAGGAGATACCTTCACTCTCCATAAAAGTCAACTTTTCCCACTGTGCTTGTAATACTGTATTTAATATTTTAGTTAGAAAAACAACAAGGCCTAGAAATACAATGCAAGCTACTGTGCCACCACACCCACTTTCCAGCTTCTCCCTTCCACTGGGAGAGGGGAAGGTTTCTGGGCCCTGCCAGCCCTGTTGGCTGCCAACGCAGCCCTT